CTACTCTAGTGGTCTTGAGGGGCTGAAATCTGACAAACCTCCTGCTGAGGTTCTGGGTGCACTTTTCCCCACACCTCATTTACCTCTATATCCCCACAAAGTCACAAGACCTCTTTGTCAATCTCCTGGCACTGGTCAAGATGACCATCCGTCACACCAGGAGGAGGAAGCTGGACGGGGGCGTGTCTCTGTAACTGTGGTTTACTTCTGGTCCCTTGTCTCATACCTCTGAGCAAAGTTCCTTGGGCAGTGTCCACTGGCTCCCTGGACATTTTTGAGGAGCAGTGTGCATTGTTGAGTGTTCTCTGCTCTATTTCCCGTTCTAGTTCCCTGCTTTTTAACCTTGACCCTCCCTCCATTTTTGTTTGTTCATTTGTTGCCCCAAGACTTTAGTTGTGGCCTGGGTGAGTGGATAAACCTTTAGTTCTGGATGGGCCATCCCAGTACCCACAATCATAGGTGCTGACTCTGTGGGTGCTCTGGGGCTGGAGCACCCACAGAAAAAAAAATAGTGGGTGCTCAGCACCCCCAGCCACAGCTGTTTGGTGGTGCCCCAAAACAGCTGATTGTAGGCTGGGGGAGGGGTCTGGGGGAGGGCAGTGAGCAGGTGAGGAAGAAGCGGAGTAAGGGCGGGGCCTGAGGGAATGGGTTGAAGGGGAGCCCTCAGGGCAGAGTGGGGGTGGAGCACCCCGGGGGAAAAAACTCAGTGCCTATGCCCACAATGGGTTCAGGATTTTAGTGGTTCTCTTCCCTTCCCCCCTCCAAAATTCACTAATGCTGAGAATACACATGGATTAGTAAAAGTATTGGTATTTTAAGGGCAGATGCAGCATTGCATGCAGCCTAACCAGCTAGTAGCATAGGGACTTAATGGTTTTATTCTTGTTTTACTTACAGAAAGAAAGAATTGCAAGTATTTAATCTTGTGCAACATGTCTTTTTATATTTAAAGAGTAAGACTAAATTGCATAGAATGTGTTTTGTGTTTCATTTCATAAAACTTTTTCACTCTCTTTTGTCCCAGTGAAAACAAGAGGGTATCCCACAAACGGAATAGTAGTGGGTGATGCACTTTGGGAGCTTAGGTGTGTTAGCAAAGCTGTGTGATGTGATCTCAGGACTTGGAATACTAATGAGGATTGTAGTTTAAAAGAAGTAATTGCAGAACTCTCCTGTGTGGGGAGATCTTAGTATGGGAAGGGCAGGGGAACTGCAGGGCAGAATTGAGGCGCATTGGCCAAGATTTCTTGGATAAATTTGCATAGTCAGATGACCTGTCTGAAGCAAACCATTAACTGTCATCAACTTTAAATTCATTTACTCATTTTAAGTACTCCTTTTGTTTTTGTTGAGTTAATTGTAATCATATAAAATGTTCATTGTTTATAGATTTACTTGCTCTAAACTTTTAAAGGCTGGTTTATCCTGGACCTGATGTCAGTGACTGTATTGCAATTCACTTTTGTGGAAGCCAGATCAACTCCCTAAATTTTGTTATTGTTTTTGTAATAACATCAACAGTGTTTTAGGGTGATTTACAGACATACAGAAAAATAAGGTCCAGCTGTGAAGATTTTACCTTCTCTAAGATATAGAAGGTAGGATGGGAGATTTGGTATAACTAAGGCCCCTGAAATAAAATCTGTTCAGGTGGGTCTTTGCAAAGAGCCCCATTCAAGACAGTACAGCTTTCTGCAAGATGGATTAGCACCTAAATAATTTAAATGACAAAAATACAAGAACCTCCAAAATGTATTATGGCATGTCTACCTACTTCAGCAACTAATATACTTTGTTTGAATCATGGAAAGGGAAAAATTACTTCCATAGTTATAAATTAATATTTTACTATGGTGTTGAGCAACATCAACTTATATTTATTTTTCATTTTGTAAGTTGCCTTAGCCACATTTTTGTCTATATTGCTACTTTTGCATGTGTATGGAATTAGATACTTTTTGATGCATTTATCCTCCCTGTGCATTAATACAGATGTGCTATGTCATAATGGTACTAATAAACCAATTAACACAAAGGTTATAGGAAGCTATATAAGAAACATAGACTGATTTATAGGCAACAAATGGTAACATCAAAAGGGCTTTTTGCAAAGTGTTGTCTCGTTCACCTCCCAAAAAGCTGGAAGTCCCAGTTAGATGGTAAGAAGGTTAATTTACCCCCTGCAGAATGTTCTATTCAAGGCTTTCTATCTTTTAAAGGTAACAATTGGAAATATTAAAGTATTACTGTGGCAAAAAAGAATACTTCTGTGTAGTTTTAAAGCATCTTTTATCTAAGTATATACTGTTGAGGCTACTACTTAGCAAATGAGCATCTCTGAGGTCATGTCTACACAGCAACTAGACACCCGCCACTGCCCTGTACCAGCCACTTGATCTTGGGCTGCAGGATTCTTTCATTGCTGTGTAGACTTCTGGGCTTGGGCTGGAGTCTTGGTGCTAGGACCTTGCAAGGTGGGAGGATCCCAGAGCTTGGGTTCCAGCCCAAGCCCTGAAGTCTATACATTAGTGGAACAGCTCCGCACCTCGAGTTGGTTGGCACAGGCCAGCCCCGGATGTCAGGGTAAACACAGCAACTAGAGTGGGGAAAATATCTCGGCTTCCCGTTTCTATTCTCTTGCCTGTGCTGTTCACATCAGTTTTCTTTACAGTGCAAGAGGTAGCCCAACACATAATTTTTATTTTTTTTCCAGATTTGCACTCCGATAGGGCCACTTAATTTCTTACAATGCCTGTTCTGGTATACAAAACTTCAGAAGCATAGCCATGCCAATGTATTTGACTTGTATTACTAGATACTCGCCAAATGTCCGTAGGGCACAAAAATGGTTAATATGTCATCAGCTCTTTACCAGCCAATTAATTAACTTCTGGGATTTCCCAGCAATTAGAAGCTTGCTTAATTAAGTGCTTGTCTCCTGAAGTTCTCAAGTCCTTAGAGAAAGGAAACCTACATTGTTGCTAAGGGGGATAGTTTTCTTCCCAGATGCAATACTACAGTTTATCAGGCATGTGCTTTTTCTCTTGATAATTTTTCAAACAGCTATATTTATATTGGCTCGCACTGCAAAGCAACTGGTCACCTTACCATTATGTTTATGAAAAGAAACAGCAGCCTTTGGGCTTCAAAAGCCAGCAGAGAAACCCTTTGCTCAATAGCAAAAGTATCAATATCTAGTAATAAACTAAAGCAGAAATCTTTCAAAGGTCAAACGGTAATATTTCCAAGCTTGGATTCTTAAAGGTAGGAGTCTAATTAAGTGACCTGATTGGGGCGGGGGAAAAAGGTGCTTAACCACCCAGAGCTGTGACAGGTTTCAGAGTAGCAGCCGTGTTAGTCTGTATCCGCAAAAAGAACAGGAGTACTTGTGGCACCTTGTGAGTGATTTCCCCAGAAACCTGCTTCAGTTCAAAGGAAACTGTATGTGCTCTGCACTTCTGAAAATCAGGCCACTTATTTGAGTGAATTAATACAGATTTAGGTGTTGCAAATTCCAAAGGCATGGACCATCTACTGGGAGAATGTAACCCCTGAAAACCAGTAGTAAGAAGTCCTTCAATTAGAACAACTTGTGATTCATGCAATGAGAGCAAGAGAAATGACTGATCAATTAGCTGAATCCCACGGCTTTATACTCCTATGTTAGTGTTGCATTAACACTGTTTCTCTGATAACCCTTTCCTGTGAAAGCCACATGCTCAAGAGGCCACTAGATGGCAGCATTCCTCATTCTCCATGGTTGTCTTCCTGTTTGATACAATTTTGACCTACAGGGTCACGATTTGCTCTCGAGTAATGCAAAACTCTTTAAGCTCAATCATTTTTCTTAAAGTGACAATGTAACCTGACTGCTGTGTCATTTCTACGAGAGATTTTCTTTATTTCAAAAGTAAAATAGACATGCATAAACCATTAACAAAAGTGATTTAAAAAAAAAACAATTTCTATTTAAGTCTATTTCATATTGAAATGTAGAGAAATAAGCATAAGGAAAATGTATTCCTTCTCCTCCCAAGAGGAATAGATTGGCATTGAGGTGAAGAAATGGACACTAGCAAACAAGCAGGGTATAGGCAAAAGGCTGATATTTTAAGAGTGGCAAGGGATGAAAGTGAGAACAGCACAGGAAAGGAAGGCCAGTCAAGGCTGAAGGGGAGAGGAGTGAGCAAGGGAATGGGAAAGAGGAGGAGAAAACAGGAAGAAAAGGAAATCTGATAACAGGAAGGAATGAGGGAGGGGTTCAGGAAAGGGAGAATTTCCTGAGGTCTCTTCCAACCCTGATATTCTATGATTCTATGAATTTAGAGTCATAAGCAGAGAGAGAGTCAAAAGGAATGTACCCCACTTAATATACTGGGGTAGATCCTCGGCTGGTATAAATGATCCTAGTTCCAATGTGGAGCTGTGATCATTTCCACCAGCTGAGGATCTGTCCCAGTGTCTTTCTGGTTGCGGACAAAAAGCACTATTTCCATAAAAGTAATTCTCAGATGTTAAACGGAAGTGGGAACTTCAAGAAAAAATAAAGGAGTATGAATTTCAAAGTCTCACCCTCACTTTTGGATAGAAAGACACAATGGCATGTATCCGTGCTCTTTTTTGTAGTTGAACCGAAATACGTTTATTCATAGAAATCTGAATTTTCTGTGAGAAAGGATTGGGGCAGTAGATGTTCAGTTATCGTGGAAAGTGAGAAAGAGGCACTTAAGATGTAGATGAAAGTGATTTCTTAAACTAGACACTTTTACCATTCTGTTCAGACAGCACTGTAGCCTGTTTATAATAAAAGTTGTCCTATAAGCAGCTCATCCATTAAACAAGGGGGTCTATAAACTTAAGTCTCTAAATATTTGGATGGCTTGATTGTGTCATTCACTTAGTCATTAACATTTATTTTTAGAAGTACTTAGAGCACTTACTGCCCCCCAAAATTGCCACATTCCATATTATTAGCTGTGAACTTTTGTTTTGATCAGTCTTTACAGCTGATGCCCTCATATTGGCAAGGCGGAATTCAGGACAATGGGAGTGACTAATCTATGGCAGATCTTGGAGCCTGTGAAAGAACATGTTCATCTGAGCAGTCTCAGGGGAAAAACCCTTGCTGTTGATTTAAGTCTATGGGTGTGTGAGGCACAGACTGTTAAAAAGATGATTGGAGTAGTCACCAAGCCTCATCTTAGGTACAGTATCTTTTTTTTCTTCTTCTTCTTTTGGGTGGATAACTGTAACCGGTGAGTGTTTGAATCTGTATGATGTAGTTTGCTCATTTGGTGCTTTGCTCCCAGAGTTATGCCAAGGTACTTCCAAAATCCATGGTAGTCCATATTACCATATAGTTTTAACCACTTACTCAGTGTGTGCCGATCATTCTGCATGAGCCATTATGAAGTGCCTTGAGGAGTATGTGCATATTTGGTTGATGTGTCTGATGCTTGTTAAAGAACAAACTAATCAAAGTGACTGTAACTCCAAAGTACTGACTTGTGCAAACAGGACTGAAAAGAGGACATGTGGAGCTATAGACAACTAGAATTTTACTATTAAAAGTGACCAGTGGCTTTTAGGTCTCTTAGATTTTGAGTACCCAGCTCAAGAGGCTTTGTGGATGATTTTCTAAACTTGTAAGAATCCACAGCGCCAATTGACTTCAACTGGAATTCTGGATGCACCACGTTTTCTGAAAGCATCTAAAATGTCTCTCATTAGGGACCCAAAATAGCTGACCACTTTCAAAAATGCAGCCTTAGCCGATCAGCAATTAATTCAAAAATTGTCTGGCATGGGGGCACTGATTCAAATCTGTTAGTTACTAATCATGTTAGCAGTAACAGAAAGTTATTACTCTGATTGCAGTGGGGTGGAAATATCAGTCAATTTTCTAATGGACATACCCACATCACACAGATCACCCTAACTGGCACCCTTTTAAGAACTTTCAGCAGAGTGACCAAAAGCTGAATGGATCTGGAGAATAAATTATTCCACCACTGTAGACAAGCTTTCATGGGGACAGGGTTAAAAGTACATTGCTAAGCCATTTTAGGGAAACTTACACTGAAACTGATTGTATTATATTTGTTCTGTACATAAACAGGGTTTCAGCCTCCAGAAATGTCAGTTCATCTCCCCTCAGTAGTAGTATATTAACTAAAATATTTTTAAGCAGTAGTCTTTCTAAATCAATCTAACACATTTGAATGTTTGTTCTACTGCTTTCGAATGTCGGCTCAATGGATTATGGGAAAAATGTATTGTCTTTGTGCCTACTCAGTATTACTGTAGTAGGAAAAATTGCAGTTATGAAAGATGCAACATTCTTTTTGCCCACAAGAAATATATAAATCAGTATGCTAAAAATAGTATTATATTTCTATTGTATCTGAGTTTTATACCACACTGATCACCATAGCATCTGAGGTATTCTCAACATTTTAACATTTGATTTAACAGGATGTCTGTTTCCCTCCTTCCAATTTCCCTTTATCATCAGTATGGAGGTAGGTCTGGGAGCAGATCTTGTTCATGAGCTGGTAAATTTCATGACAGTTTTGGAAGGCTGAACAAGAATATATTCCTATAATACAGAATTCATGAAAAGGTATTAAAGTTCTTCTGAGCAATAAGTCCACAGAAAAATGAACATCTTTCCTCTCTATAGTTATGTACCTGTACAAAGACTTGCAATACAAAATGGTATGAAATCTTTTCGGATGTGTTTGTGTGTGTTTTCCAAATAGCAGCTATAGAATCTTTTTGGGTGGATGGAGGAGCATTGGGTTAGGGCTATAATCCAATTGTTCTTAAGGTGTTTCTTTTGCTGTTTTTGTTCCTTGGTTTGAAACTGTGTATGTTTCATTATGAAGTTCTGACCAACATGAAATTTCCATTTAGGGTATACACATCAGTTGTCATGAGGCTTAATTTATAACTAAATTTTTCAGTGAAATTGTTTATTTACTTTGTTAACACAGGAATCTATTTTTTCGAATCTCTTCTTTAACCTCAATGGAGATCAAATTGGTGTTTGTGATGGAGGGGGATGCCCCAAAGCTGAAAGCAGAAACAATGAGTAAGAGGAATGAGCTCCGCTATGGGTCTTCGAAAAAACCTAGGGCTGCAAAAACAGGGAGATCCTATTTTAAATCAGTTTTAAAAGAGGTGAGTGATAGAAGAATTTCATTATTTGGGGTATTAGAGAATGGAGAGGGAAGAAAAAACGTTTTAAAAAAAAGGAAAGAATTTACAATAAATGTGACACATAGAAATGACTCCAGACAGATTTTTCAATGAGATTCTGCCCCCAAAAAATTTGCATCACTTTGAGATTGGATATTAGTCCTGTAACTTGCTGTATTAAGAGTTTATGAACCCCCTTTTTTTGTGAAGATCATATAAACTTCTTGGGGCAGTGTGTTCCCATATGTACTGTACAGCATTGAGCACAACGATGTCACTCAGTGCAGAATGATCATTTGAATTAGCACGTAAAAATTATTATGCACACTCTGGAGTCTACAAACTTAGTAGTCTCCCCTGTCTATGCAAATTTCAATACACTTTTATTAAACTCCAAGGTATACATATTGACAATAAATCTTAAGTGAATATAGTGCCTGTTAATAGTTCTAGGTTGACAATGCTGGAGACTCTTCTGGAGCTAAGCACACAATAGGAATTACGCAGGTAGTGTTAGTACAAGTTCTCTTCACCGTTCCTTGGATGCGCCTTAAACCTGACTTGCTCTGTTCCATTCCTTAATCTCTTTGCTGATGCTGGAAAGAAGGTGGACTATTGTCATGGTGATTTTGGCATCAGGACACCCATCCATTTGAAAGTAGACTGAAATTCTAGTTGTTCTTCTAACAGCTGTTGCATGGCAAGTCTCTCTGGTGCTGGATTCAGACCAGTGATTGAGATAAAAGGCTCTGTATCTCATTACCAATCTCTCAAGCCATCTAATTCCTCATAAGCCTTTTTGTTTTTATATTTTTTTTACTTACCTAATAAACATATTAGTGTTGTGTAGAGCTGTTTATATGTTTCTAAAGCAGGGATTCTCAACCTTTTTCTTTCTGAGCCTCCCCTCCCTCCCCTCAACATGCTATACAAATTCCACGGCCTGTCTGTGCTACAACAACTGTTTTTCTGCATATAAAAGCCCGGGCAAGCATTAGGGGGTAGCAAGCAGGGCAGCTGCCCAGGGCTCCATGCCACAAGGGGCCCTGTGAAGCTAAGTTGCTCAGGCTTCGGCTTCAGCCCCGGGTGGCAGGGCTTAGAGCCCTGGGCTTCAGCCCCAGGTGGTGAGGCTTTGGCTTTCTGCCCTGGGACCCAGCAAGTCTAACGCCGGCCCTGCTTGGCGGACCCCCTGAGACCTGCTCGTGGCGCCCCAGTGGGCCCCGGACCACTGGTTGAGAACCGCTGCTCTAAAGCACCTAGCACGCTTTTGGTCATTACATAATAACACAGTAGACTTGTTTTCTAGCCTAGGTCTATGAACCAGGAAAATAGCCATGTTAACATAGTTAGCTGTGAAAATGTTAGGTGAGAAATGTATTTAACTAGGTTGAGAGAACCAAGGTTGCAGGACAAATCGCTCTGTCATTCTGTATGGAAGTTTTTGTTTATTGATACCTTTCGTTACTAATTCCTCATTTCCTTAGTGTTCAGTTCTTTCTTTGCTCTCGTATCAAAATAATGTACTACATGGCAATATCAATTTGCATGTTGAATTTGTGGGCCTTGGACAACAATGACTACTGTCCTTTTAAGTAACATTGTAGATCAATTAGTAACTTGGAGATACTTAATGTCAGCTTCACTGTTTGCCAGGTTTCTTTTGTGATTGAAGTAAAGTGTACTTCCATAAAGTTTTTGGTAGTGTTGGAAAAGTATTTATAGGACAGGAATGAAATGAGGGAAGATGTTTTATTTGCTTTGTTTGTTCCTCTTCAAGGGCATGATCCAAAGCCCAGTGGAAATATTTCCATTGATTTCAGTGGGTTTTGGATTGGACACCAGATGAATAACCTGAATAAAATATTTTAATATTGTCAAGCTGCTTGGCGTGAGCTACGCTCCAATAGGACAGCAATTCTTACTATGCCACTTTTATGTTTTGATTTGTTAAAAATCCTGACTTGTGAAGAGAAGGCACCATAATAATTCAGTACAGTCATTTCAGATAGCTTGCACACAACACTTCTACAAAGATAACCTTCCTTTTCTGCTGCTCTGACCGTGATTTCCCCCGGACCCCTACCTCACTCATGCACATACACACTTTCTTGCATCTCTGGATTGGCTCCTCTGTTCCTCTGCACATTCCCATCTATTACTTTTCCACTTAAGCAATTGCTGTAATTATCACAGAGATGTTATGTGATCATGAATGAGAGGGGACGTGGATCCCTGAGGCACTTCATTAAGATGTGATCCATAATGAAAGTTTAAGAAGTCCTGTTTCATACTTTGTCTTGCCTATGTTCCACCCAAGCTTCGCTCACTGTCTACTTCTGTGCCTCTTTCTGCACAGAAACCTCCTAAGCAATGTATGCCAATCCTCCAGCCTCTCCTTCAAAAATCTGATGAGCCTATCTGCAGGGGCGGCTCTGTTTTTTGCCGCCCCAAGCACGACAGTCAGGCAGGCTTCGGCAGCATGCCTGCAGCGGTCCGCGGTCACCCGGATTCAGCGGCATTTCTGTGGGTGATCTGCCAGTCCTGCGGCTTCGGCGTACCCGCCGCCAAAACCGCAGGACTGGCGGACCTCCTGCAGGCACACCACCAAAGGCCACCTGACTGCCGCCCTCACAGCGACCGGCAGGCCACCCCCCACGGCTTGCCGCCCCAGGCACGCGCTTGCTGCGCTGGTGCCTGGAGCCGCCCCTGCCTATCTGATACGCGAAGTGTTTTGGCACTCAGTGTGTGTTTAGTACTGTGAAACTGAACATAACCATGTCCCTACTCACTATAAATTATAAGTTAGTTCAGTCGAGGATCTAGTCTTTGTTTGCAATCCCACATGTATTGTAAAGTGACACATACAATGATAGTACTACATTGATGATGATGATGATAATAATGGCCACTGCAGACATACACATGAACCTGAGGACTATTTAGGAAAAATGGTTAATTGTAAAAAGGGATAATTGAAGATTCAATCTCTGTCTTCTCTTGAATATTTTTGTTTTTTTAGTGCCTTGAAATGTTGGAGTGTTTAGGATTACCTTGGGTTCAAGCAGCTGGTGAAGCGGAGGCGATGTGCGCTTACCTGAATGGAAATGGATATGTGGATGGCTGCATTACCAATGATGGAGATGCTTTCTTGTATGGAGCTCGAACAGTTTATAGGAATTTCACCATGAATGCAAAGGTAGTGTTAAGTTTTTTGGAGTCTTTTTTCCTTCAGACTACTTCACACTCATTATATTGCTCAAATAAATGTGAAGCACCTAGTTAATTGTTCAAAATATTTATGGTATCTGTTAGGGCTTCTCCCTCACCACTCACTTGGTTCTTGTCAGACAGACAGAAAGCAGAAGACCACAGTCTGAAGTGCAGGCAATGTAATGTTTATTGGGGTTAATCAAGCAAGCATATCCATAGCTCTGTACGCTGCAGAGCTTTTCTCCGTTCCTTTTTCCCACCTCCTCCTCCTTAGCAGGCTTAATTATATCTGTAGTACATACCCCTGGTCCCACCCCTTACAATTTATGGTCATGCTCCGTTTTGGAGGATTGTGAGTCTTGGGGGCTTTGGTACCGCCTCTTTTGTGCCTCATCGGAAGGGTAGGGAGTGAGGTTGTGTTTCGGCCAGGGTCACCATTTCTTTCGCTTTTTAGTGTTTCTTATGCCGCCCCTCCTTGCCCCTCCCAACTGGTTGCTTGACCTTGCCTTGCGATAGGATTTGAGGCAGTCGTATATATTAAACTCCCACCAAAACCTGCAACACTTTAACTCACTTACTTATCTTTTCTCATTGTGCTATAAACCCCATCTGGTTGTGGGCAAATGCAACACACAGTGTTTTTGTTCACACGTTAGTAAAAATATCAAAAGTCAAACAGGCAAACAAAACCCAAAATTTTATTTCAGGCAAATATACAGGCTAAATACTATATTAACAACACTAACAGTGTCATACTTTTGTCTTCCTGTATTTGGTCTTGCTTAAAATCTCTGTTTTTATAAAGCAGACTTGCTTTGCTTGATTCATTAGTGTTCAAGCACTGAATGAATAAGAAAAACAGCTGAGTTGAATAACAAACATGAAATTATCTGCCGTCTGTTTAGGTTTTCTATTACATGAATTCTTATGTGACTTAAAGCTGTAAATTTTCTACAGGACACAGCCCTGTAGTGACAGTTGTGTGCTTATAGAAACAACAGGTCTATAGGGTTAAATAAATGCAAATTCACTCATTTGCATCTTACATACACATTAAAATGTGTAACACTGTCACACTTGATAATGACGATTGCTCCCCAAATCAAGCACTGTTGACACCATGTCTTGTATGTCTGAATAATAAGCTATAGTATGACCAGTCCAAAAATGAATGTATCCAATAAAACAGACCACCCTGATTAAACTTATAGATACATTAGGAATGTAGTTTGATACATTTGAGAAGGCAGAACAAATAACTCTCTTGAGCACTCTTCTGTAGTATGCAGAGAGATTTCTTTTATGCTAAGTCTAGGGCATCAAGCAAGTGCAGTAGCAAATGGAGTAAAGATTGAAGATTTAAATGTATCCTGGTGTAAGAAACTGTTGTTCAGCTAAAAAAAGTGCTTGTATCTTTGTGAGAACTAATGGAATGAAGAGGCAGAGCTGGGAGCACATAATGTTAAAAAAGAAAATGTAGGGCAATTTGCTTGAGTTCATTTGGCTATACATTTGTACAGGGTAAACTAGAGCCCAGTTTTCAAAGTGGGATGTCTTAAATTAGGTGTTCAAATCAGTATTAAAATGGGTATTTACTTTAGTTGTCTAAATATCTGTCGAGGTGCCTAAAAAGTTTGAAAATTGGGTTATAAGTTTTTGTTTTTTTTTAAAGTTCAGATCCTTTGATAGAAGACAACTTCCTCCTGTTCATTCATCCTTTGCAGCTTCAGAGTGTTCTTTTGTCATTCTATAAGCCTAGGGTGTTGGTTAAATTTCTAATCCTTGATTGGTTTCAGAGTAGCAGCCGTGTTAGTCTGTATCCGCAAAAAGAACAGGAGTACTTGTGGCACCTTAGAGACTAACAAATTTATTTGAGCATAAGCTTTCGTGGGCTACAGCCCACTTCATCAGATGCATGTAGTGGAAAATACAGTAGGAAGATATATACACACACAGAGAGAACATGAAACAATGGGTGTTACTATACACACTATAAGGAGAGTGATCAGTTAAGTGAGCTTTTATCAGCAGGAGAGAAAAAGAACTGTTTGTAGTGGTAATGAAAATGGCCCATTTCCAGCAATTGACAAGGAGATATGAGGAACTGTAAGGGTGGGGGGGAAATAAGCATGGGGAAATAGTTTTACTTTGTGTAATGGCCCATCTACTTCCAGTCTTTATTCAAGCCTAATTTAATGGTGTCCAATTTGCAAATTAATTCCAATTCAGCAGTCTCTCGTTGGAGTCTGTGTTTGAAGTTTTTTTTGTTGTAATATTACGACTTTTAGGTCTATAATCGAGTGGCCAGGGAGACTGAAGTGTTCTCCAACTGGTTTTTGAATGTTATAATTCTTGACGTCTGATTTGTGTCCATTTATTCTTTTACATAGAGACTGTCCGGTTTGGCCAATGTACGTGGCAGAGGGGCATTGCTGGCACGTGATGGCATATATCACATTGGTAGATGTGCAGGTGAATGAGCCTCTGATAGTGTGGCTGATGTGATTAGGTCCTATGATGGTATCCCCTGAATAGATATGTGGACAGAGTTGGCAACAGGCTTTGTTGCAAGGATAGGTTCCTGGGTTAGTGTTTTTGTTGTGTGATGTGTGGTTGCTGGTGAGTATTTGCTTCAGGTTTGGGGGCTGTCTGTAAGCAAGGACTGGCCTGTCTCCCAAGATCTGTGAGAGTGATGGATCGTCCTTCAGGATAGGTTGTAGATCCTTGATGATGCGCTGGAGAGGTTTTAGTTGGGGGCTGAAGGTGATGGCTAGTGGTGTTCTGTTACTTTCTTTGTTGGGCCTGTCCTGTAGTAGGTGACTTCTGGGTACTCTTCTGGCTCTGTCAATCTGTTTTTTCACTTCAGCAGGTGGGTATTATAGTTGTAAGAACGCTTGATAGAGATCTTGTAGGTGTTTGTCTCTGTCTGAGGGATTGGAGCAGATGCGGTTGTATCGTAGAGCTTGGCTGTAGACAATGGATCGAGTTGTGTGGTCTGGATGAAAGCTGGAGGCATGTAGGTAAGTATAGCAGTCAGTAGGTTTCCGGTATAGAGTGATGTTTATGTGGCCATCGTTTATTAGTACTGTAGTGTCCAGGAAGTGGATCTCTTGTGTGGACTGGTCCAGGCTGAGGTTGATGGTGGGGTGGAAATTGTTGAAATCATGATGGAATTCCTCAAGGGCTTCTTTTCCATGGGTCCAGATGATGAAGCTGTCATCAATGTAGCGCAAGTAGAGTAGGGACGTTAGGGGATGAGAGCTGAGGAAGCGTTGTTCTAAGTCAGCCATAAAAATGTTGGCATACTGTGGGGCCATGCGGGTACCCATAGCAGTGCCGCTGATTTGAAGGTACACATTGTCCCCAAATGTGAAATAGTTATGGGTGAGGACAAAGTTACAAAGTTCAACCACCAGGTTTGCCTTGACATTATCGGGGATACTGTTCCTGACGGCTTGTAGTCTATCTTTGTGTGGAATATTGGTGTAGAGGGCTTCTACATCCATAGTGGCTAGGATGGTGTTTTCGGGAAGATCACTAATGGATTGTAGTTTCCTCAGGAAGTCAGTGGTGTCTTGAAGATAGCTAGGAGTGCTGGTAGCGTAGGGCCTGAGGAGGGAGTCTGTATAGCCAGACAATCCTGCTGTCAGTGTGCCAATGCCTGAGATGATGGGGCGTCCAGGATTTCCAGGTTTATGGATCTTGGGTAGCAGATAGAATACCCCTGCTCGGTGTTCTAGGGGTGTGTCTGCGTGGATTTGCTCTTGTGCTTTTTCAGGCAGTTTCTTGAGTAGCCCACGAAAGCTTATGCTCAAATAATTTTGTTAGTCTCTAAGGTGCCACAAGTACTCCTGTTATTTTTGCTAATCCTTGATTAATTATTGTACTTAAAAACAGTTACATTTGTATGTAGATTTTGAAAGCTGCAGTTCTTAAAATCATGTGGTCAGTCTTCAATGCAAGATGATATTTATGTCAATCATACTTTGTGTAACAATGACAAATGGCTTGGTCTCTTCTATGCTAGCAGTTGAACAACAGTAAGACAAATTGCTGTTAACCTGTCAGCAACAAATCAATTTCCTAGTCACCTGTGGTCCTGCCTACACTATTCCCAGCTGTAATATTTTTCTTGCAGGACCCACATGTTGACTGCTATACAATGTCCTCTATTAAGGAGAAACTACGTTGTGACAGAGAGTCTCTGATTGGGCTAGCAATTCTTCTTGGTTGTGATTATCTTCCTAAGGTGAGGAAACTAATTATTTACCATGTTCCTGTGATTTATTTTTTCTGAACATACAGTACCAGTTAAGATTTGAGCATGTATAAAAACACATGAAATGCATGGTAGACTACAGACATCTAGCTGAGGAAAGTACCTTAATAACTCCTACTGTAAAGACATTTTCATAATACTTTGTAGTGAAAATTAATGTTTGCAACTCTGTGAGATAGGTGAGTATTATCATTTTACAAATAAGGAAGCTAAAACAAATTTAGATGGCATGTAATATATATGTGGAAGAGCTGGCATAGGCAACTAAGAGCCTATTAGAACTTTGAGCTCCCAGTCTCACACTTAGTCCATTAGATTATGCTTTCTGTCCACACTGTGGCTGTAACTATGCTAGTAACAAGCGTGTTTGAAAATGGGGTAGTCTACAGTATGTTTATGGAAAGCACAGTTGCCAGAAAAATCCTTGTACACTCTGTTTGGAGAAATCAGTAATAACTGTTTCTAAATGTGATTGCTGGTAGACTGTTCTTGACACACTGTGGATTTGACCAAAAAGCATGACTGTATGGAAATTGGGGAGTTAACCACTTCTGCTGCAGGGCTTAAAGAAATGTTTAACAAATGCATTTGTCTGGTGTGACCAGGCACGCCTGATACAGCATGTCCTGACATTTAATTGGAAACTGCTGCTGTAATGCATGCAGAGGAAGTTGAGAGGAAATAATAGTCTCGGTTTGTAAGTACTGATGCTCTTGACTAGAAAAAGATGAGCTGAAATGGAAGTTGCCAGTAAAGGGTGATGTGCATTACTCTTTGCAAACTATGGCAGTGAACATTTCATTATGAAGCTGTTCTGATGGTTAGTCTACCCCACTGTTCCTTCATTCCAAGTAAAGTGAAGCGATTCCAAATCCAGTTTATCAGTCTAAACCCTCATTTGTGTCTGTCACTTCCACTCAACCAAAAATGGCTCTTGAGTTGTTCTATACCCTAGTCTCTCAAATATGCAAGATTATCCTTTGGAGAGCTGAAACTCTATTGCAGATTAGAATGTACTGAGTTACACAGCAGAGGCATATTATTCAAACAGAGATGTAACATGTCACAAAAGCTTTGATGATACCCATATCAGTAAATACTTCTCAAGTGTAGAGTGTTTTAAAGGGACACTGTCAAACTTATTTTCAGAAACCAAAAACTTAAATATAATTTATTTTTGATGCGCTCTTTAAATAGTATGTTATCAAAATACTATAGAATAAATCAGTGAGATTTGTTCCCATATTGATGTTTGGAAGCTTGTTTTGCGTGGCTCCAAAAGAAATAATAAATATGCCTGGGTTTATCCCTCTTCCACTCTCCTGCTATCTCTTCAATTTGTGTTTGTTTTTCTGCTGCTTTTGCTGGTTTCCTGCTAAGGAAAAATATTATTATGAACTACCCCAGAGCGGCATATGAGAGTGAATTCATCACCCTGTGAGACACAGGAGATGCCACAGGCAGTGAACAAATCAATTTAATTTAATTTGCACATATTCACTAATCCCACTTTAACAAAGTCATTGGGAATTTTGCCATTGACATCTGAGGCTCAGGATTAATTCCAGAGCAAAGAAACTCAAACAGAGAGGTTCCCTCCCCTCCCTGTAATCTTCCTGCAATTCTGTTTAAAAGCAAGTGTTTCTGGTACTACTTTCTACTCTAGACCAAGCCTTAGGAATAACTTATAACAGAGATAAAATTTCCAGAAGAAAATTACTTTTGTTTCAAGTTGATGGTGTCTTTGTAAATCAGGTGTGTTAAACTTTTTTGAATCACCCCACCTTAGCTCCTTTTTAAAAAAAAAAAGCTTGGAGCCCTTTCTCCCCAAAATAGTGAGAAGGGTATTGCCTCCTAGCACTCAGTGTTTAGATGGCATCATTTGCTCAGATTAGGGGGACCAAGCACCACAGGCAGGGGCAGCTCTATGTATTTTGCTGCCCCAAGCACAGCAGTCAGGCTACCTTCGGCGGCATGCGTGCGGGAGGTCCGCTGGTCCCGCGCCTTCGGCGTACCCCCCGCCGAAATCATGGGACCGGACCGGCAGACCTCCCGCAGGCATGCCGCCGAAGGCAGCCTGACTGCCGCCCTCACGGCAACCGGCAGGCCGCCCCCCGCGGCTTGCCGCCCCAGGCACACGCTTGATGCGCTGGTGCCTGGAGCCACCCCTCACCACAGGTTGCAACACTACTCACTCAAAATTATGAAGGTTAGGGCTTGTCAAGCAAGATTATCATTTAATGTTTTTCATAATAGGATTAAGGAAGTACATCTTTTAGCCTTGAAAAGGTGTCAGGAAACCTAATGAAAGGCTTGTGAACCAACTCCACTTGGCTCTGTTTGCATTCCACCAGTTATTTGCTCTGACCTAATATAGATGATGATAATTTGGACAGGAAAAGGGAGGCACAGTCATCTACAATTTGAAAAATCTCTGAGAAAAAGGTGGCAGAACCGCGGAATGAAACAGAAGTGAGAAAAGAAGTAAACCTCCAGAGTGAAGACTAGAATGAAGGGTGTGAGGAAGAGAGTGACTCCATATAGCAGCTTCTGTCTTTACTACTTTAAAATGTAAACCAAATAATTAGGTGAAGAAACATAATATGAAGGAACCACGTTCACGGGGGGAAGGGGGTCCAAATAGCCATGTTTACTAACTAGATGCAACATGCTCCTTGCAGGGTTCTGATGGCTTTGAAAACATAGAAAGCAGTAAGGTCTATTAAAGGGCTCTCAAACTATCTAAAGAGACACCACCCAATTCTTGTATACAACAGCTTTTTAGCTAAGTTACTGTGATCAGAATTGATATTTACCAATCTTCTTCTTAGGCAGTGGTGGTGGTGGAGGTATTTCTAAAGCATCATAAGAGTGTTTGGCACTTTACAGACAAAATGTACCTGAGAGACTGGAAATCATTAATATATGATAGATCAGGGAAAGATTTATTGATTAACCTAACCTTATCTAAATGGAAACTGTCTTGAGCCAAAGATGATTTCAGAATATCCTTATGCCATTGAAGAGTATTGTTTAGTTTCTCAGAAGAAGCTTCTAAAACCTCAAGAAGTTGTAACTGGTTATCTTCTGGAGTGACTTCCTGATAGCTGTAGTATTAAAAGGAAATAAGAGGTGGTTCATTCTACTTCACCTATAACCATTTATTTCCATGTTCCTAGTTAGTTACCCCTGAAATGATACATTGCTTAGAAATAGTTGGAGATTGACATGCTGTAATTAGATGCCTAAGCGGCTGGCCACGGTCCAATGACAAACTTCTAATTGATTTTTAAATGTGTATTCAAGCTATACAGTTAGGTATCCAGTTTATTCAGCTGCAACTTTACAGCTCCCCAATCCTCTTGAATTATTGATTTAATCATTATGCTGATGATATAACCTATGTTTGTGCTGCAAATGCAAGCCATGTGACTTAGCTGTACTCTGTAGACTGTAAGCTCCTCAGGGTAAGGACTTTGTAAAAAGCCATGCACGCTAGTGGTGCCACAAGAACAATGGATTGTAAAAAATCAAAATTAAAGTAGCAATCATTATTTCATTTACTTTGTCAGCAAATGCCTCCATGGTGGAGCTCTCAGGACTACTATTTGTTCATAAGTGGCATGAACAATTTGAGTTACCATTTTTGTAAATTGTCTTTATTTTGTTTAAAGCCTTAATTAACATATATTAAGCTTATCTGAAGTGATCAGTTGCTCTTACCTATACAAAAATATTTGATAGGACACACTTCTGTCATACAAACGTAAGGCCCTCAAGTTTACGTCAGTTTAGTACCAACTAGCTACTTAATTTAATAAGATCTATACATTTTATTGCCACACACAATTTTTCAGTAATTACTTTTACCCAATACATTGGCAGTCATTATCAAATTGGGAGTTGGGGGAAGAGGATGGAGGGAGCGACAGTAGAGTTAAACTATTAAATAAAACTGCCTGGTTAGTAGATCACCATCCCATGTGATAGGGATTGGATGCTTTGGTCGAAAGTCATTGGGATTAATATAGCTGAAAATGTAATGGCCTGTGGTATACAGGAGGTCAGACTAGATGATCCCTTCTGGCTTTTAACTCTCTCAAACTCAAGTTTGTCAGGAGTTCAGGAATTCAGTTCTCCATTAACACAAGCAGATTCTCATTCTGTCACCTTGGATTTCCTAATGTCCAAACATTTTGCACTCTTGTCTTACTCTTCAAGGGTTCCAAACATTTTTTTTTTTACCAAACTATTTTATTTTTTTTTCTTATGGGCCCAGTCCCCTGACAGTAATTTTTTGACTTGTCATCTCATCTAAGGCTCCAATACAACAAAGCACTTAAGTGTGTGCTTAAAGTGCTTGGGTGAATCAGGATGTAAATCTCTGCTTTAGCATGATTTCAAAACAACTCTGTTTTGGCCATTTAACTGTTTAAGGGCCACATCATGCCATTGGTTTCAATGCTTAAAAAATTTAATGTGGAATTCAGCTTATAATAAAGTCTTCCCCACTCCCAGCTGGGCTCCTGCCAGCTGCCTGGGCTCCCCACTCAGAGCCCGGGTGGCTGCCCCATTCCCGGCAGAGAAGCAGAAGCCCTGGCGGGTAGCTGGGAGCCCATGGGGCAGCTGGGCTCCCAAAAGGGAGCAGCGAGCGGAGTTGAGAGCTCTGGCTGTCAGCTCCCTCCATTGCCTCTCTTAGGTCAGTGCAGGTGCTCCTGACTGTATCCTTAGCCAAAGTAATAGATTGTTGCAGTGTGTCCATTTTCCTATGGAGCTCTGACATCCTGTCACTCTTACACTTTTGGGCTTCTCCTTCAGCTCCTGTTGTCCTGTAGAACAAGATGGCATAAATGCACATGCATGTTTTGAAAAATTCAGTTCTTGTTCTTCCTCATTAATGTACCAGATGTTTACTAAAGCAAGAGTTTCTATTTAATATTAATTAATTAATTGTATTGGGTAGCACTTAGGGTTCTGCTCCATGATGAGGCTCCTGTTTTGTTAGGCAGTGTGCAAACCCATTTAAAAAAAAAAAAAAAACAGTCCCTAACCTGAAGAGCCTACTCTACATGTACTTGTTTCAACTATCTTTCAATGGGAGTCTGGCTTGGATGTTTTCCCTAGTCTCTGCCCCTCCAATTGAGTACCCCAATTCCCAGTTGCTGTAGTTCAAGTTGACTCCTCTCATGCAGCTTTCTCACTGACTTTTAAATTTGTTCTTCAAGACCTCTTTTCTTCCTTTCTGTGCTATGTCTAATTGTGGACTAGATTCCATCTAGGATTCAGTTAAACAAAACATATTTCCCAGATGACCTTGTCAACATAGGGGTGACCCACTGTAGTTGCATTGGAGACGTACTACAATCTTATGACAACCTCATATTAATTTTTTGTGTAAACAGTAAGGATTTTAATTGTAATGAATTCACTCCAAGGTGCTTTCCACTCTGCAGAAGTAAGATGGCTAAATCCATATTATATATATAAAGCAAGAAGCATCTGAATTTTTTTAAATTCTTCATGGAATTAATTTTTTGTTATTACACCTAACAGATATGAATGTTTTACATTAGTTTAAACTTTAATATGTATCATGTTTCCCTCTCTCTAAAAGGGAGTGCCAGGAGTTGGAAAAGAACAAGCTTTAAAGTTAATTGAGACTTTGCGAGGTCAAAGTTTACTGCAGAGGTAAAGTTAAAGTTTGTCTTGTCTCCTGAAATATTTCAGTGTTTTAAATTGTCTTATTGAAAGGCAGTATTATGTTGCACTTTGAACCTGAGTCTATGCTACTCATGTTTTAATTTTTAAGGAAACAAAATATTAAATTTCTTACATGATGATCAGGTGTGTATTCAAACAATACATTCTTCCAGGCAAACTATTTTTTTAAAGTTAGTTATTGCTTAAAATTGTGTTAACTCATAGTCCCTATTCTGGCAAACAGTAACACATGTATACTTGTTTGCAGGATCAGAGGAGTTAGATCCTGATCCCAAGCCCACAAAAGTAATTTGGAAAGACTCTCATTGACTTTAAAGGGCTTTGGATCGGGACTTTAGATCCTAATGTTGTCTGGTATGACTATTGTCCCAATGATTCTCAAAGCTAGACATCCCAACAATCCAGTACGTACTCAAAAGTACATTTACTGAAACAAATTGTGTAATGGAAAACTGAATAGTTTTAAGAGGATGAATTAGGTGGTATGATTTTTTTCCCCATATTTAACTTAAGTGGTAGAATTTGCATGAATAAGCTATGGGATTGCATTACATTAACGTTTGTAATATAATTTTAGGTTTGATCAATGGAAAGGACACCTTCAATGTGGTAATGCATCTGTTCTAACAGTTAACAAGATGACTCATTGTTCTGTGTGCCATCATCCAGGTCGGTATGAAAAGGAGTAGATTTTTGTTTTAATTTGATGTGCATTTTATTTGCTCCCCCCACCAGCGCCTCTGGGTAATGAGGCTGCCCATTCTGGAGCCTTATAAGTACAGTAACTCCTCGCTTAACATTGTAGTTATGTTCCTGAAAAATGCGACTTTAAGCGAAACGATGTTAAGCGAATCCAATTTCCCCATAAGAATTATTGTAACTGGGGGGGTTAGGTTCCAGGGAAATTTTTTTCACCAGACCAAAAACTATATATTATATAGATATACACACAGTATACGTTTTAAAGAAACAATTTAATGCTGTTCACTGCTATGGTGATTGTGAAGCTTGGTTGAGGTGGTGAAGTTAGAGGGTGGAAGAAGGAGGTATATTTCCCAGGGAATGCCTTGCTGCTAAATGATGAACTAGCACTCGGCTGAGCCCTCAAGGGTTAACACGTTGTTAATGTAGCCGCTCACACAAGGCAGCACGAACACGAGGGAGGGGAGACAGCATAGCAGACAGAGACAGAGACACACCTTGTGCGTGGGAGAGAGAGAAAGATGTACACTGCCCCTTTAAGTAAGCTGACCCACTCTTAAGTGCATTGTCTTTTTAAGTGGATCAGGAAATTGAGACAGCAGCTGCTGCCCCAAGCTCTCTCTGTCTCTCTCCCTCTCTGTCCCCACTCTGCTCTATATGGAGAAGGGGTAAATGGGGTTCAGGAGCAGGGGGAAGGGGGACACCCTGATATTAGCCCGCTCCTTCCCCCCCCCCTGCACAGCAAGCAGGAGTCTCTGAGAGCAGCTCCAAGGCAGAGGGCAGGAGCAGCACATGGCAGTGGGGGGAGGGACAGCTGAACTGCCGATTGATAGCTGGGCGGCTGCAGCACAGGGAACTTAGGGGAGCAGGGAGCTGATGGGAGGGCTGCCGGTCCACCCTGGTTCCAAGCCCCCACCAGCTAGCTGCAATGAGCTGCTCTTCCTGCAAGCAGTGGACAAAGCAGGCGGCTGCTAAACGATGTTAGAAGGGAGCATTGCACAACTTTAAACGAGTATGTTCCCTAATTGATCAGCAACGTAACAACGAAACAACGTTAACCAGGACGACTTTAAGTGAGGAGTTACTGTATAATGCCTTTTGAAAAAGGATAATGCCCTTTAAAATATTTTAAATGACTTGCATTAAAAATTGCTTTTATGCAGGTCTCAACTTCTGGATTATCTTTCTTTAAAAAATATAAAAGGTCTCTCTTGAGGATTGGTGATGGAGTAGGACTTTTTTTTTTAAACCTGCAGGCCACTGGTACCAGCCTGGGCCATGTTGGAGGCATGCAGAAGATGTTACTATTGAATTGCTGTTAGGTGGTATAGATCTAGTTTGGGCAGGTGTATACATCACAAACTGCCGTCATAGTTGGCACCTTTTTGGCAGTGTCAATAAAGAGAGCAAAGACTGAACTGACATTGAGACTGAACTACTCAGTCATTCATGTTGGCGGGCCCTCCATTGACAGGATTGAGATAGATTAGCAGAGAACATTTGCATTGCTATTCTTCTTACTGTGTCTGGATTTATTTTTAAAGTGGCATTCAGTCTCGAGGACCATCTATCTGGCACCTTCAGTTCAAACCCAATGCTGCTTACAGGAAGAAATTTTTGGGGGGCGGGGAGAGGGAGGAAGAGAGAGAGAGAGAGAGAGTCATTCATTCCACAGTTTTGTCACGGTGTCACATATGCATGATATTTGTGGGTCTTTAGAGATATAATTTTCCAGAATAACATTCTGCAACATTCAAACTAACAAGAAAAATCTGATTTTTATTGTAACTGTTACTCAGTATTGCTAGTGTGCTTAGCTCTGTATACAGCAGCTTTTGGTGATATACCCACGTATACTCAACTTTATGAAACACTCTTGTGTAGTTTGGGAAACATGGTTCATCTCATTCTCTTTCTTCCTTTTTCTGTAGGTTCTTGTAAGGACCATGAGCTCAGTGGATGTAAACTGTGTGGAAGTGTTATGTACTGTGAACCACATGACTACCAATACTGCTGCCCTTGTGAGTGGCATTGTTCAGAGCGAGTGAAACAGACAAATGCAGTGGAGGACAATATCAGAAAGTAGGAATGTCTTCAAAATGAACTGCTCCTCATTGCTTTCAGGTGCAGGGTGAGCATGCAAGTCCTGCATCACACACATTTCTATCCTGTTCCTAATGTGTATGTTTTACTTGCAGAAAAGCTAGAGGTTGTGAGGGCTTTCCATTTTCTGAGGTAACTAAAAAGCCTGCTAAAGGTTCATTTTGAATCAGTGAATTGGATTTTCAGCTAACTTTCTTCTCAATGTCCTCTCTTTGTTTTATTTCAAGGTTATCGAAGAATTTCTTGTAAACAAAAACAAACTGGTCAGGATAATGGAGTGCCAGAGGCCAAATTTATTGTCCTTTCAGGTACAGAATGATACATAGAGAATCCAGCTCTTTGACATGTTGCATTTGTTAGTATGCAATGCACTTAAGAATATTAACGTTAATTAGTAACTTTTATCAGTGGGAAGAATGTAAGAACCTTGCAACAACTTTAATATACATGTTTGTTTGGAAATCTGAAATTAAGGCCTTAGAATAGCTGTAGAAGGGGACAATGTAGTGAAAGAAACTGGAAAACAGGGTCACTCACAACTACTGCAGCTTTAGCTAGATATGAAGTTCCTTTTCACATCCTGTCCTGAATTGTTGAGTTGTTATGGCAGCTAGCCCTCACTTACCAGTTCTGAATTGCCACCTACCAAATTTGGAGGCTTTTCTGGGAAGGTCCATCATCCCAAAAATTCAAAGATCTGCCCTGGCATGCTCCCTAGAGGTTATGTGAGTGGATGTAGATTTTATCAGCCTAGTGCGTGAGAGAGAGAGAGATACTAATGTATCATTAACACTGTTTTAAAGTACAATGGGTGAAATCCTCATCTGGTGTAAATCAGCATGGCACAACTGACTTCAGCGAAACTAGTATGATTTATAGTAGCTACAGATCTGGCCCACTAATAGATAGCTCCATAGTGGGTGAGCAGGATGTAGCTTTCTGCCTAGTGGGAAAGGAGGAGGAGGATCCATTAAACAAGAAAATAATGGGGTGAGGGGAATAGCTGAAAATAACAACCCTATAGAGAGAAGGAAAGTGTGCAAGGGAGAGAGAGGGCAGAGAATACATGAGAGAGACTGGACAGAATAAAAAAGAATTTGGTGGCAACTGTCATGGGCTGGTAAAAAGGACACAAGGTAATGTCCATTTCCTAATCTGTAGCAAAGGGAGCTCCATCATAAAAATAAAAAATAAAAAAAATTGTGAACCGCTGTTCTCGTCTTTCAAGAAATTTATTTCAATATTGACGTTATATTGTTCTTCTGAGCATTAGTGCTATAAACGATGCCTTCGTTGTGCTGTTGAACTAGGCTGGCTACCAATAGCTTACCAGTAAGAACTCTGCATTTATACATTTAATCAAACCCTAAGATGTGTTGTAGTTGTACTCTATCAATACAAAAGGAAACATAATTGAAATGTATACACAAAATTGTATTTAATCGACACAGTTGAAGAGGTCACCTTACATTAGAACAGCTTTGTCTAAAAGTCTGTAGATAACATTTGAGACTGATATTTACAATGCAAAAATTGGTGATGCCATTTAGTGCTAATCACAGAAATAGGCCAGCCCTTTATGCCTTTGAGTGATTATGTTCTTGTGCCCAGTATAGAATTCTCCCGGGTTTATTGTGCTGGATGATTTCAGTGTCCATTGGAACAATGACTCTTCTAGATTGATTTACAGACTACCCGACAACATAATTGTGGAACCTTACCAAGTGGATTCTTGCGGCATAACAGAGAACTATCTATCTGAATTTTGTTTTGGGGATGATGTACAGAAGTTGGAAACTATACCCTTCTTGGTTAGGTCATCTCCAAGGCTAACATTAAGGCTCACCTTTCCTGGCAGGGCAGAAGATCTGTTTTGATGTTCCACCTTCTGAGACTGATGGCACTGTTTACATGAATGGTGTATAGACAATGGACCACTAATGAGTACTCTGGTGGAAGGTGATAAAAATCTGTGGGTGTGCATGCATGGGAGAGATACGTTATCAGAATCTGATGGGAAAATGTTTAGCTTTCAATGTGGCCTTCCCATTCCTGCTGCTGCTATTACACAACTGCTCCCTTAACTCTCAGTTGAGCAGGCTGCTATATCTATCCTGTTATGGATGTCCATTATTCTGCCATCTTGCATTGAGAGGTCATTAGTGTCTTACCATAAGGTGGGTATTAAACCGATGTATAAAACATAATACATATTTAAAGTGTTCATTGAGATAACTGTTAAGGACACTGTAACAACAAAATAAGAAGGTATTAAGGTTGCATTTCTTAACAGAGACTTGCTTTTGAGAAGATGGAATGGACCAAACACTATGCTTGCAAGAAACTGTTGTCACTGTTGACACGCTATGACATGATCAAAAGAAAGTCTGGTCAGACAGATACAGAGCAACTGCAGGCAATACGGTAATGTAATTTGTGAAGTTTTTTAATTCACTCCATGTTTCTGTTCACTTCTGTCACTGGAGAAAATCTTATTACTTACTGAAGTAAAATTTACTTCCCCCTTTTGCCTCATCCTTGAGCTATGTGCTGCCTTTCGAAAAAGGTAAAAGCTTAAATCAGTGCTGCATTTCTGTCATTGTGGCTACACAAAAATAAAGTGTAAAGTAAAATGTATACAAAAGTTTCTTTTAATGCTAGTTTATAGGGCATGATTCTTCACACCCTCACTTTTAGCCATAGTCTCATCAACTTCAATGGGACTATACATGAGATACAGCACTATGGGCATGAGTCTTTGCTCATTGAAGTCCATGCACGATCAGGCCTGTGGTCTATAAATCTTAGTGGGTGACAGTTTGCAGCTGGAGAGCTGAAGTTCTTGTCATACCTATTGGCTTTCCTCTTGTTATGGCTAATAGTGAATGGTCTTGCTGTTGAATTCTACTATACTTTCTTGTCAAGACGGAATATCATTATTGTCTAACCCTGTTAAACTTTCAGTTCAGTATTACCATCAAATTCTATAACCAATTCAGCAAAAAAGGGGGTGTAGAGAGGGTGTGCACTGCTTAGATGATATACCCACACACATTGCCAGTATGTACCTGTGACAATCTCATCACTAATCTTGCACCCTCATGGATAACCAAAGACATCCGATTACCCTCTCCTTTCCTTCTTGGGTGCAAAGCCACCACTGAATAGAGTTATGCCTATTACATAGCATAGTAATTTCTCCTTCTGCTTCTGTGTAGCACATTCAGTTTCCATATATGCAGGATTAGTGCCTAAAACCTGTTTTAGCACACATTTACACATTTTACTTTATTGTGAGTAGTTCCATTGAGTTCAGTGGGACTGCTCACAGATGTGCAATAGCACAAGTGGTAAGGTGAGTTTTTGCAGGATCAATGGTTATTATTCAGAATTCTGTTCCAAAGGAATATTGAAAGCAGGGACCGAGTGGTTTGTAGGAGTGTTAGTAGAATGTGGAACCTTTTAACCTCTAAGTTGCTGGTTCAAATCCACTGCCAATAGCAAAATTAAGTTATCATCTGATGGCTGTTCAGTTGCAACTGTCAATGTAACAAAAAAACAGCAGCAGCATGCACACACACACACATAACAACACCTAACTAAACTGCACAATGGAGATAAAATGAATATTTCCCCCCAAGCAATATCTCTCTGGCTCAAAACTCTCCAGTCTGAGCAAAGAGACAAAAGGAGTGAATGAATAGAGACACAACTACTGTGTCAGGTTGTCCCCATGCTAGGGTTGAGGGCCATAGGCAGGGCAGTATGAGGAAGTTTTTCAGTATCACTGCCTTTGTATCTCTTGTGAGAAGGGGACTTCACTCTCCAGTGATGCTCATCTGGTACCTTTTTTATGACCTTTACGTTCACTAATGGTCTGTTTAAATGTTCAAAGTCAAGAACTGAAGTTTATTATTTACCTACACCAAAGAAAAAGTTACAAATCTTAAAAGCAAATCTTTCTGATTTTTAGAATCTGTACTAAATCTACTGATAGAGGCATAGGATTTTTTTCCCTCTGATTAATTTGCATAGATTACAAAATTAAAATTTTGCAATAGGTTTGTGATTTTTCACATTTCTTGCTTTAGCAAAATCATTTAGTGATACCATGTCTGCTTTTGTTTCACAGGATAGTCAGGACACGTGTTAAAAATGGAATTCCTTGTTTTGAAATTGAATGGCAAAAACCAGGTTGGTGCGGTCTTATACACGCATGGGTTATTCTGTAACGTAACTAAAAACAGTGGACAAAAATCCCATTTAAAGGAAGTGGGTAGCCAGCAATATGCACAAGTGACCTATAGTACAGATTGGACAACTGTTCTATGAACATATGCAGAAAACACACACTTTTAAAATCAAACAGATTGAAAATGCAAACAATGAACCCTTGCGGGGGGGGTTGTCTGTGGCAGTCTTTAGGCGTGTCAGAGCAGCACTTGGTGCACACTTGGAGGAGGGCAAAGATGTCCCTTATACTGGCTTGGGACTACGACAGCACATTGGACTCCAGTTTTATTCCTCCTTGGCCCCAGCATATCACCTATATTATGGTGGCACTACTTCACATGAAAAAATCCCCCATGATTGGGGAATCTCAGCCCGTGACAGACTGGTGCAAAGGGGCCTTAGCATGACCAGGGTCTGACCTCTAATCTGCTACTGACCTTTATATTTGAAAATTGCAGTTAAGGACAAGGGAACTGCATAGTTCTTGCTTTGGTCCTTTCCCTTCCTCCATGCCCTCAGCCCTAATGTGCCTTTGTTAATTTTCTAGAGCATTATGTTACACCAGATGATCAGCCCACAGAGTCCTTTGTGGTTACAGTAGAGGAAGAAGCTTTGTTTCAGGCTGCCTATCCTGACATTGTTGGCTTCTATAAAGTGGAAAAGTTGGAAGTTTTGGAAAGGAAACAGAGAAGTAAGTTTGAAAGCTGACCAATGCTTAGCACTCTGTGGGCACTGCCATAACACAGATAATAAAGATATTTTCAGGACTGCATCAGCTCTTCCATAGCTGTTCATACATCATTTTCAGTGGAAGATTAAGATCCCATTTCCTTCTCTCCTTCCCATCTGCTAGCACTATAAGGTTATTTTTTGTTTTTTACTTTGACACAAAGAAACACCTATTATGTATGCTCTTTGTTTTTTCAGGTAAGAAAAATAAACCAAAAGAGAGAGAACGCTCAAATATCGATTGTAAAGTTGCTGATCTTCTGTCTCTGATGAATTTGCAGTCTACATGTGAAAGCTTTCCTGAGCAGGATTCCAAGTCAGATTTTAAAACTCTTCCTGATAATCAAATGCAGGAGAAAAGTATCTCCAAATCTAATGATTCCCTTTTAGCTGCAGATTTTTCCACTGTAATCGTTCAGTTACAAAACCCAGTATCTACCCTTCCTCTAACTGCTTCACCCAACACTCAATATCAGAGTGCTTTAGATAACTCTTTTACTTCACCAGCACAGTTTACTCAACTCCCTGAGGCATCATCCTCTTATGTTTCCTCTATGATAGCTGATCTACAATTGAGTGGCATTGATTGGGAAGGAACCTCGTTCAGCATTTCACCAGCACATGTTGATTCTGCCTGTTGTTCAGTGTCTGAGCTTGGTGCATCTAATAATTGTATAAGCCAACCATGTACACTTCAGCACAAAACAAGGGAAAACACAAAATATTCTGGTGCTACACAATCTGATGAAGATTCTTGCATCAGTGCAGAGTATTTGGTTCCAACCCCTACTGATCTGGTAGGACAGCTTCAGAAGTTGCCTTTAAGAGAACGAATATTTCTGAAGACGTCTGTGCAGAAAGATACTGCACTGTCTCTAAACATAGTGCAACCGAAACCTTTACAATTGTTGAAACAAATTAAAGAAACATCAATTCCTGAGACTATTTCCACTTATCCTTCAATTCAATTAAGTGACACCACAAAGGAAATCAAAATGTTATCAGAAAAATATTTGAAGATCTCTAGTGTACAAAATTACCAGGAACAGTACAAAAAACCTGGCAACTTGGTACAAATGGAGCAAAAACACCCCAAACAAAGCTGTTTGAAGTCTGTGGGTTTGAGCAGTCAAGCAACAGAGCCTTTGAACTCCGAAGGTGAATCACTGAAGTTAGCAAAGGCCACAGATAACTGTCACATTAGAAAATTCTGTACTCAAGCTACTTGGAAAACTTCCATTAAAAAGAGTGTGTGCCATGACAGACATTCTTCTAGTGAGGACAGTGATGATGGGAATATGACGGATAAAAATCAGATTTACAGAATTAAACAGCGGAGACAACCGAATCCAGCTCAGATGAAGGAAAACACCACCAAGGAGAGAGGAAACAGAGGATCAAATCTTTCAACTAAATGGAGAGAGAAAGAGGCAAATTTAAAAATAACTAGCACTAATTTGTCAATGGAAGTATCTCCAAAACCTGCCTCGGTAGTGGAAGCTAACAGTTTCCCAAGCCCAATACTGTCATTTAAAAGATTAGATTCCTGTTCTTCTCTGCAGCAAAGCAAAAATGATGACTGTGATGTATGGGTAGATAGTCCCCTGCCTCTGTCTGAAAGGCTCAAACTAAGACTCAAAAGCAATTAGTACTTCATTAAAAATACATTACGTTAAACAGTTAACTTGGTGTCTAAAACTCCTACATAGTTCCTTTCCTCATATTCATAGCATTGGTGTATGCAAGCTCAAGAGACACTGTACTGCTAAGTTGACATAGTCATAATTAATAGAAAGCATTGTGAAGTCCTGCTTACTTGGTACTGAAGTTTGAAATGTAAACGTTGTCAAAATTGTGCAGTCCCTGGAGTACAACTGACATGCCCTGAAATCCGTTTGACTGTATAGTGTTTTCTTGCCATAAGCACCATAGCCATGGACATAATATACAACATTGCTATTTTATTCCAAAGGAGGTAAGGTTTATGTAATAAAGCATTAGCCTTTTTGCTTGTAAAGGTAGACTCATAATATAGTTACAATGTGCTATGCTGCTATCAGGTGTTCTCAGCAAGACAAACTGATACAGCTTTTGTGTAACTGAAATTCCCCATTGTGCTCCACTCTCTTGATGGGGTGTTAACTTTAAAACAGGCTTACAAATACTTGTTTACCAGTGGTATTGAGCATTTTTTAAATAAATGACCAGATAAATTCAGCAGTTGAGCTTGTCCAGTGTAGCTGAATTTATTTGTCTGACATGTCCTATAATGAACTGCTAGAACAGACGCCTAGTCCAGAAAAGGATTAATAACCACTTGAATCAGTGCCAGCTGAGTGGACTCAAAGTGAGTATTTTAGGTGCATTCTAGTTCTGCAATTGCTATCTCTACACTTTTATTTAAATGTAATTGTATTAAATTAATGTTTGTAGCTGGTGGCATTTTTTTGCTACAGAACAAGAAGAATGAATTCTCTGCAAGTTTTGACTTGCCTTTAGGTAATAGCAGAGAAGAGGTTAAATTATAGGAAACCTAAAATTAAATTTGCTATTGCAACTTCATTTACAAGCATCACATATTTTAAATCATTGTTTGTAAAAGGAGCCTTGAAATTAGACTTAAAACAAAAAAGCAACACAATAGTTCCCACCCATTAATGCAGAGATACAGTTCACTGGGACTACATATCCCAAACTGCATACTATTTCGCACAGATCACCACTGAGTTCCCCATTGGCTATAGGTCAGGGGTTCTCAAACTGGGGGTGTTGACCCCTCAGGGAGTCATGAGACAGTTATGTGAGGGTCACGAGCTGTCAGCCCATGGGTGGGCCTGGCAATGGATGGGGCTGATAGGCCTCAGCCCCTGTTAAATTAAATTATTAAATTAACACACACACACACACACACACACATTTTTAATGGTCATAGAGGCTTGCAGTGTGAAGGGGATCACAATACTAAAAGTTTGAGAATCGCTGCGGTAGGTGAAATTATGCATGACTTCTTCATAGCTAGCAGCCAATGAAGAAGACTTTTTGATCAAGAAGCAATAATGTCAGGTTTACAGAATTTGTAGAAATTAGAGAAAAGGAGAACCTATCATCTCAACTAATCAATCCCCTTCCCTCTTGCAGGACAGTTCTCTTCAGTGCCTTTCCCAGGAAAGGAGAGAAATGGCTCCTTTACAGTAACTTTCCATGAGTTGTTCTTCTGTAAAATGGGGGAAATAGTATTTTCTTACCTCACAGGTGTTTGTGAAGGTAAAATTATTTAAGTAGTGTGAGGTGTTTAGATACTACAGTAATAAGTACATAAAATAGAACAGAAAAGAGAAACATTTAAATAGAAAACTCAAGATCCATACCTTTTTAGGAGGGTCAAGCCTTTTTGGTCCAGCCAGGTGGCAAGAGAGATTGATTAAAACTACTTCTGAAAATAATAGCATTTATTCTCACTACATAAAGGAATGAAGCAATAGAAACATTAGTATACATATGAAAAAGGTGATCATGAAATGCTTCATGAGTTTTATTATGTAGTTACTAGAAAATGTGAGTAGGGATCAGTGGTTGACTAGATCAGGACTACTACATTTTGAGAGACCAATGCTGTAAGTAACTTACAGAATTGTCTGTGTGGTTGTCTGTCTTCTTTTTACATGGTTATGATTTTATCTTTTGAAGGTATTAATTGTTTCTAAAACTGCCCATTGATTTTGGAGACTGAATGTTGGAAGAAGGACTGTACTTTCTTTACCTAGGAAAAACAAGAAAGATGCAGCTCCTACTCTTTTGCTTTGATGGAATAAGATTTGGAATTTTTAAGCATTTAAAACAAGTGTCCTCTCCATTTTGTGACCATTTTCCTATTTTTCCCTTTTGGAATATGGGACCTGATGATTATTAGACATTAGAAGTGTTCTCCAAGGATGTTCCACTGCAGTCATAAATTTTGCTTGGCCTATGTAACTGCATAGATGGATGATATCTTGTAAGTATTTTGTCAGGATTCTGATTTGAACCCACTCTTCCTTGGATGATGGAGGTCAGATATGTAAAGTATATCTATTAAAGATTCCGGCACTGCAGAGAATCAGTGTATTCTTGGAATCCCTGTAAGAGCCACATTCAGTCCCACAACTCAGGTCCAGATATGTGCAAAAGACAGGAAATATATCATTTCTAATGCCTGATTCATCTCTACCTTTCATGAGCTTTACACCTGTGTAACTCCATTATCAGGAGCAACTTTGGGGAAGACATACACCAATGTGAGAGGAAAATAGTCCTATGATAGTTCAGCTCACCCTTGCATTGAGTTGGTACAGACCATATAGCCTTGTGCTGGTGAATCTGTTAAGTAAAGCTTGAGACATCTTTCCAATGAAGAAACTCACCTATGTTAGAAATGTTACTTTTCTGTTTTGTCATCTTGTATTAAATATGCTGAATCTAATTAGGAGACTGTTAGGCCAGTAAGCCTTGTGTCCTATACTGAATAACGATTGTGGTAGTGCTAGACTTCTAAATGGACATCTAGACATACAATAATATGTAAGAACATTTTCCATCTAATTGTACCATTTGTATTGAAGACCAAGATATGTGTTTACCTTTTATTATGCTTGTTATATCTGAATTTTGTTCAAAAAGTTCTTTACTTACAAAGTGTTGTGGATAAAATTAAGTGTTTGAAAATGTAATTAATTATATATTGAAAAATATAATTTGTATCAAAACAATCTCTTAATGATTTTAACTTAATGTGGCTCTTTTTTCTATTAAACTAATAGGTTTTTTATTAATTTCTGTGGAAAATATAAGTGTTAAACTAGCAAAGAGAAGTTTACACTCTCTGTTGTACAGTGAGACTTGCAAGAGGGGAAAAAATCAGAGGATTATAAAGTTTAAACAGCTGTGTTTAATAGTTCATGCTACAAAATTGTTCTCATGTTTGCATTTGCATGCTCACTGTCTGGCCCAGTGACTCTCTTTAGTTATTTATCCATAGTGGCACTGCTTCAACGGAAAAGACTGAGGAAGCCCCACATCAGAATACCTCTTAGCTAGATCTGGCAGAATCCGATTTTATTTTATTTTTATTTATTTTGTAAATTTGACAGATAATATTGATGTTTATTTTTTACCTTTTTTTTTCTGATAGGCTTGTTCTGGGCCCCCCTACCAGATCGGGCCCCACACATAAGTTAGGTGTGTGAACACCTATCTTCCCCAGTTTGTGAATCGCTCGGGGGCTTAGGCAGGAGATGGGTGTCCAGATGCCTAGAGCGAGGCAGCAGTGTGCATGCCCAGAGGCAGAAACATAGGTATTGAGGGAACTTTTTACCCCAAAAAACTTAGGTGCCAATGAGTTTAGGAGCCTACACGGTTCAGCAGGAGTTTGTGAATCAGGGTAGGTCTACACTTATCTCCGGGTCCGGCAGTAAGCAATCGATCTTCTGGGATCAATTTATCGCGTCTTGTCTAGACGCGATAAATCGATCCCGGAAGTGCTCGCCGTCGACGCCGGTACTCCAGCTCGGCGAGAGGAGTACGTGGCATCGACGGGGGAGCCTGCCTGCCGCGTCTGGACCCGCGGTAAGTTCGAACTAAGGTACTTCGAATTCAGCTACGTTATTAACGTAGCTGAATTTGCGTACCTTAGTTCGAAGTGGGGGGTTAGTGTGGACCAGGCCTCACAGTGAAGCCTAAAACTGGGACTTGGGCGCCTCAGTATTATGGATCTAGGCTTAAGTGTGCTTGTGCTAAAGAGCTCGGCCTAATGAGGGCCTAGTTCTGTGCTAAAACACACAGGAAGGGGAGACTTGGCCCTTTTTTCTGGAGGGAAGGGAGAAAACCCAGCTGAAACTGCTTCTGCATTGGTAGAGGGAAGCATTAATTGTTCTGTGTGCTACTCTTAGCCCCAGTGTGATGTCCAGATTCCACATTGTTTGGTCTTTTAGCAAGTGCAATGCTAATGCACTATTTTCTAAATTCGGTCAAGTCACATCAGCAGCTCTGTCTAGGCTGCTAATGGAGGTATTTTTCTTAATTGTCTCATTTTTTAAATTCATGGCTGAGGCCAATACTCTTTCTTAGTGTTATTTTATTTTTACAGTTCCTAAGCTGTCTGCTTTGCTATCCAGAATAGAGGTAAATAATGGACATGCAAACCACCTACAAGCTAAAGCAGGAGGGCTTATTTATTTATTTACTATGTTTTCAACACCTAGTCTCCATCTTGCAAAGAAAAATAAGCTACGCCACACAAAAAGTACTGTACTTCTAGTATTACTCTAACAGACTTGCTCTTTTCAACCACCCTAATACACCTTAAGGAAAATCCTAAAATAAACCATCAACATGTAATAGTATGAAATATAGCAAATTTCCTCTGCAGAAAATAATTCCTACAAGGGATACATTTCTTTAGCAGCATGTATAAGCGAATGAGATGAATCGACCAGATAACCAAAATGAAAAGGCATTCAAGATGATCTACTTATGGTAACACAAACAGAACATGTCAAGCTGTTCTATATCACCAGTGTATTAACCATACTATGTCCAACATGGAGATGGTGCACGCAAATACATTGTGGCCTTCCTTGTGATGTCTTGCTGCCTCAACTCCAGGCAAACTGCTCCTACCTGATACAGAGACCATTGACTGACTAGAGAAGGCAGCAGCAAATTAGTTTTGACATAATGACACCCACAATAATGACCATTTTACTGATAATTGTCTTAAAGTTGAAGTTGTCATGCATTCATCTTCACTTCATTTACCTTTAACAGAAAAGATGAATGTCAGTCACTCAAGATGTGCACAGCATTGCTAGGATCAGAATATATATATGTAACATTTTTCTATGATAGAAAATGAAGAAAATCTGTCAATAGCTAAATTCTGGTAAAGCAGTTGAGGGTGGGTTTTTTTTTGGGGGGGGGGGGGGTTTATGGGACATTTTGCATAGTTGATGTGTGTGTCATTAGAACCTTTATGTTGTCCATTCCGTTCCCAGCTTGTGACTGTTGGATCTGGGTTCATGGTCCCATGAACAATATTAAACCTTTTTCCTCACTTTGGATTGTTCCCAAACCTTAGGACTGGGTAGTCATTGTAGCTAGAACCTAGGAATTTCTAAATTTGACCACATTGTATTTAAAATACAAGGGTGTATAAATGGTGCTCTGTCACTCATAAATATCCTGACAAATGTATGTCTATGAAAACTTAAATTGTTAAAAATGATGTTGCTCAAATAAATTTCTCTCATTGTGATTTAAACCAAAATAGATGACTGACTAAAATCCATGAATCTGATCTAAATTGTATTTTTACTGGGTAAAATGTTCAAAAGGGCTCAAGTCTCCTTTTCAAATGTGATTTTTGGCATTTAGGAACCTAAGTCTCCCATCCCCAAGTTCTTAAAATCATATTTGAGAAGGGGGCTTGTGCTCCTAAATAATTCAGGCCCTTTTGAAAATTTTACCCACAATCTTCATTTTTAATGGGTAAAATTAAAAGGTTAGCTGTTAATCTGCACATGAGAAACTTAGTTTATCATCTGAACCCGGGAGCTGAGTGAACAGTAGTACATACTGGTTATATCACACATTTTAGCAGTTTTAAGAATGCAAATTAGTTTTTCCTGAAGGAGAGAGTGCTAAATCCACCACTGACTTTTACTGTTTTGTCAGTAGCACTTAGGCTGCAACAAGCTCCAGTAATATTACTAACTGCAGCTTCCTTTTATCTGTTGATGTAATATAGCAGGGTTTAACACCTTCTTAGACATGAAAAGGTCTTATCTTGTCTCAAATAACAGCTCCCATTAATCTTTCTCACCATGAGATTTTCTATGTTTCATCCCAACAGCAATAGCCCAAAACC